GAGAAATAGGGACGATGTTAACACTGTTGGTGGGAATATAAATTAGAACAACCATTGTGGAAGACAGTCTGGTGATTCCTCAAGGATGCAGAACCAGAAATAACGTTTGATCTAGCAATCCCATTACTGAGTATATACTGAAAGCATTTTAAGTCATCGCACTATAAAGATGCATGCACATATATGTTTATTGCAGCACTGTATAGCAAAGCACAAAAGCAAAGAGTTGGAACCAACCCAAATGTCCATCAATGACAGACTGCATAAAGAAATTGTGGCACATATACACCATGGAATACTATGCAGCCATAAAAAAGGAATGAGTTCATGTCCTTTGCAGGGACTTGGATGAAGCTGGAAACCATCATTCTCAGCAAACTAACACAAGACAGAAAACCAAACACCGCATGTTCTCACTCATAAGTGGGAGTTGAACAATGAGAACACATGGACACAGGGAGGGGAACATCACACACTGGGTTCTGTTGACAGGTGGTGGGCAAGGGGCGGAATAGCACTAGTATAAATACCTAATGCACGTGGAGCTTAAAACCTAGATGATGGCCAGGCGCGGTGGCTCAAGCCTGTAATCTCAGCACTTTGGGAGGCCGAGGTGGGTGGATCATGAGGTCAACAGATCGAGACCATCCCGGTCAACATGGTGAAACCCCATCTCTACTAAAAATACAAAATATTAGCTGGGCATGGTGGCGCGTGCCTGTAATCCCAGCTACTCAGGAGGCTGAGGCAGGAGAATTGCCTGAACCCAGGAGGCGGAGGTTGCGGTGAGCCGAGATCGCGCCATTGCACTCCAGCCTGGGTAACATGAGCGAAACTCCGTCTAAAAAAAAAAAAAAAAAACCTAGATGATGTGTTGATAGGTACCGCAAACCCCCATGGCACACATAATACCTATGTAACAAACCTGCACATTCTGCGCATGTATCCTGGTACTTAAAGTGAAAGAAAATAAATAAATAAGACAATTTAGAGGAAATGGGTCAATTTCCATTTCACATAGTCTCCCAAAATTGAACCAGGGAGAAATAGAAAAAAAATAGTAAAGAAAAGAAAAATACAACGTAGACCTTTTGCGTCTGGCTTCTTTCACTGAGCATAATGTTTTCAAGGCTCATTTATGTTACAGGAGGTATCCGTACTTCATTCCTTTTTATGGCCAAATAATGTCCCATTATTTGGATATACCACACTTTGTATATATATTCATGAGTTGGTGGACACTTGGGTTTTTCTACCTTTTGGCTGTTAGAAATGGTCTTAGTCCATTTTCTGTTGCTTATATCAGAATACCCAAAACTGGGTAATTTGTAAAGAAAAGGAATTTATTTGTTACAGTTATGGAGGCAGAGAAGTCCAAGGGTGGGGTGGAGGGACGCATCTGCTAAAAACCTCCTCGTGCTTGGGGACACTGTGAAGAGTCCTGAGTTCGTGCAGGGCATCAAGGGGGCTGAGTGCGCCACCTGCCATCTCAGGTCTTCCTTCCTCTTGTAAAGCCACCAGTCTCCCTCCCTGAATCATCTATTGTTTCATCAACCCATGAATCCATGAATGGATTCACACTTTCATGAGGCAGGGCCTTTACGATTCAGTCACCTCTCAAAGGCCCCACCTCTCAATACTGCCAACTTGGGGATTAAGTTTCAACATGAATTTCGGAGGGGCATTCAAACCATAGCAGGAATATTGCTGCTGTGAACATTTCTGGGCAATATGTATTTTCTCAACCCTTCAGGTGATTCTGGTGCATGCTACAGTTTAAGAACCATTATTATAGATGCAGCGGTTACAGGAACAAATGGAAGATGGTTCTTTTTAATAGATACAGATCATCACCTCTCCTTTAGGTCTTAAGTCGGTATAGAAGAGGAAAAACCTAGGTGGTGAAAACTGATGGTGTGTGGTCCAAGAACAGATGTCCTTGTTGCTGTAGAGATGCAAGACAAGGTTGGGCTGAGACGACCAAAGGGAAGGAAGCCCTGGTTATAGCGACAGTGCGCACTCTTGACCACTAAGCTACCCCTATTCATTTACTGGCATGTCATTGCATTTTTTTCTTTTCTTTTTTTTTTTTTTTGAGACAGAGTCTCACTCTGTTGCCCAGGCTGGAGTGTAGTGGCCTGATCTTGGCTCACTGCAACCTCCACCTCTGGGGTTCAAGCAATTCTCCTGCCTCGGCCTCCCTAGTAGCTGGGGCTACAGGCACACACCACCATGCCCAGCTAATTTTTGTAGTTTTAGTAGAGACGGGGTTTCATCATGTTGGTCAGGATGGTGTGGATCTACTGACCCCAGGTGATCTGCCTGCCTTGGCCTCCCAAAGTGCTGGAATTACAGGCATGAGCTACCGGGCCTGGCCCATGTCATTGTATTCTAAAGGTACTGGGCTGTTAAGTGTTAATGCTTCTCTTTAGGGGAAATGACTCACCAACACCTCCTGCTTCTACAGTTCTTGAAACTGTATAAAGCCTTTTCTATCTGCACTTTCTGTTCGCTGTCACACTATCAATATACTCAGCTACAGCCTAGTCTCCCCATTTAACAGATAAGGCCATTGAGGCTTAGTGAGTTTCACTGACCTGCAGGAAGTCATAGAGCAGAATATGACAAAGTCGGAAAAATTGGAATCAGAATCACTTCACCCCCCTTAACCTCACCAGAACAGTGTTTTCAATTCCAGCGGCACATTAAAATCACTGGAGAGGGTTTAAAAATACTGAAACCCAGGCTCTGTACCAGTGAGTCCATTTCATTGGTCTGAGGAGGGGGCCTAGGCACTGGTATTTTTTAAAGGCTTCCTGGGTGTTTTTTTTCCAGTTACTTTCTTTAAAAATTTTTTTTTTTAACTTTTCATTTGAAATAATTTCAGACTTCCAAAAAAAGATGTGAAATAGTACAAAGCAGTCCTGTGTATCCTTCCCCGGCTCTTCCAAATGTTAACATCTTACATAAGCACAGCGAGCTATCAAAGCCAGGATATTAACACTGACACAATCCCGTTCGCTAATATACAGGCCTGGTTCAAATGGCATCAGCTGCACTTCGTGGATAGCTCCAAATCATTCTGGAGAATTCATTGCTTTTAGTTATTCCGTCCCTTCAGTGGACTTGAATCTTTCCTAGGTGATCTTAATGTGCATCCAGGGTTGAAAACGGCTGGTGGACAGTGGAGCCCTGGAGTTAGTCTTCTCTAAGTAGATTTAATTGGCTAGATGGTGCATTTTTTTCTTCCTGTTCTCTGACATGTAAGAGCTATGTGTGAGAATCTAGTATGTTTCTAAGCTATTGTTATGCCGCTGATGGGATGAATCATTTGAAGATTTCTGACTATTTTTATGAAGTGACAGTTAAATCTGCTGGGAGGAGAAATGAGCCCTAGTTATATTCATAGCAAAGTTACTGCCACCCCGGTGAAAAATGGAAAATGGTGTATTGGAGAGGGAAGAGTTAAAGAGCTTTCAGGTAGGAACTAGTGGGCTAGGTCTTCACAAAACTCAGTGCCATTCTTTGGATGTGAGTCTTGAATACAATTTAGATTTTTTTTTTTTTTTTTTTGAGACGGAGTTTCACTCTTGTTACCCAGGCTGGAGTGCAATGGCGCGATCTCGGCTCATTTTTTTTTGAGACAGAGTCTCACTCTGTTGCCCAGGCTGGATTGTAATGGCCTGATCTTGGCTCACTGCAACCTCCACCTCTGGGGTTCAAGCAATTCTCCTGCCTCAGCCTCCCTAGTAGCTGGGACTACAGGCACACACCACCATGCCCAGCTAATTTTTGTAGTTTTAGTAGAGACGGGGGTTTCACCATGTTGGCCAGGATGGTGTGGATCCTGATCTTGCAACCTCCGCCTCCTGGGTTCAAGCAATTCTCCTGCCTCAGCCTCCTGAGTGGCTGGGACTACAGGCATGCGCCACCATGCCCAGCTAATTTTTGTATTTTTAGTAGACACAGGGTTTCACCATGTTGACCAGGATGGTCTTGATCTCTTGACCTCGTGATCCACCCGCCTCGGCCTCCCAAAGTGCTGGGATTATAGGCGTGAGCCACCGCGCCCGGCCCTACAATTTAGACTTTAATGAGAGATGTGCTGGACCTTAATGTAAATGTATTTAGATAGTGAAGCCAAAGACGCTAAACTGAAAACCTGCCGTTTCCTATAGATGGTTTATTCAATCAAAACATGTCTCTTAACCTCTGGTCTTGACCCTGCCATTGCAAAGACGAATCATTGAAACCTTAGCCTGTCTGTTATCCTGAATGACTGGCTGGAGGCATCACCTGCTAACACATGAACCTGGGTAGCTCGTAAGGATTTTTACTTTATTTTCTCCTTCAGTCTAACTACCTTTAGCCAATTAGAATTTTTCGGCCTCATCTTTCTATTATCACCTGCTCTAGGTAAAAACAAACCTGAGTGTCTACGCTGTGTGTAAATTAGCGTGCCTCTGAGGGCTGCAAGCCTGAACAGAAACTATCCTCCAGAGAGTAAAAAGGTTATTACATTTAAACCACAACCCCATCACCAGCACTGGATTCCTCTAGGCCACAGATGCTCACTGTCAGCAAGTGTTTTCTCTGCGAGGCACTGGTTTGGAAGCATTTGAACCTGATAGCATTCTGTGTATGTTGATAGCAGAAATCCTATGCACGGATACCTTGACAGCCTTTACATTCACAGGGAAGACAATCAGTTCCCGTGATGTTAGGTGGCAGCCAGGGCTGTGGCCTTGTGGGTCCCAGCACAGGAGACTCTCATAACCCCCTGGGCTTTGGAACATGCTGCTCCCTCTGCCAAGAATGCCCTTTTCTCCCACCAACCCTCTTCTCCTGGCTCACTCCTGCCACCTCCTCTTGGAAGCATTCCTTGATTTCCTCCCCGAAACTGAGTTAGAAGTCTTTTTCACATATTTGCACCACACTCCGTGCTTCTATGTGCTGCAGTAAAAGTCATTGTTTATTTGTCTGATTTCTCTGCATCCTAGCACCTAGCCCAGTGCCTGCCACATAGGAAGTGCCTACCATCATGTGCGTGTGTGGATAAATGAATGATGAATGAGAGCTGCTCATTCAGCCTGACTACACCAAGCACTATCTGTGTGAAGCCATTTGCACCCATTATCTCCTTTAATCTGGGCAGAATTTAATCCTTCGATTCTGACGGGATGGTATTTTAGCCAATTCTACAGGTAAGGAAACAGGCTAAGTGACTTACTTCCCGATGACACAGAACCAGGATTTGAACCTGGGCTATCTAAGTCCACAGCTTGGCCTCTGTCCCACAGCCTCTTCCCTGCACAGCCTCAGCTGAAGGTGGCTGTGGTTGGCAGAGCAGCCAATGGCTGACCACAGTGGGGACGGAAGATCTCTGCACAGGGCATGGACCTGTGGGACTCTGAGAGCTACGTCTCCAGGCCTTGGTTCACCTTGGAAGACTTAATGGCGGAGACACAGGGCTCCCAGCAGTGGGGAGAGGGTGTGCTCTCCCTGACGGTGCCATGGGCCATGCCCAGTGTGTACTATTTGATGAAAAAAAGGACAGCCTGGAAAAGTCCACAAGGACCAGATGTCTGCTCTGCCCCTGTGCCTTAAACCTCAGAACTGCCTTCAGCCTAGCGTCACTCCCAGTGTGCTGAGGCCTCTAGCAGTCAGTCTGGCTACTCGGGAAGGATTTTGAGCCTCCATTTCTGATGATTCCTTAAGCTTTGCTGCCAGCTCCTCATCTCAGAGCTCCCATAAGTGCACGGGCAAATCAGCTGAGGCCCCACCATTCAGAGGGAGCTGTAAGCTGCTTCTCTGCAAAGAAGGCACCAAAGGGATGAGGAAGAAAAGGAGGGGGGTCTCAGCTGTCTTCTGAAGAGTGAGCACTCCAGGAGAATGGAAACCGCTGCCTGCATAGCCGCCTTGCCACCCAGCTCTTCAGGTGAGTCATGTTCAGCTCTGTCCTCCTCCCAGGCACACGCCTCCGGATGTTCTGGAAGACAATGCGGGGATGGGTGAGAGGAGGGATCCCTTTGTGTCTGGAGATTCCCCTTGGGGAGCCTGTGCTTGCTTCCTGGCTTTGCAGATGAGCGGGCACTTCAGTGCGAAGACAGTCCAGGCACTGTTAAGGTTTCTGAGTCCGAGTGGAATCTCTCACTTGCAGAAGGCTCTCGTCTCTTTAAAACCCATCTCCTTCTCCCCCTCTTCTTCCGTGTGCCTCCTGCAGCTGACGAGAAGAACTCGTGTGGGGTGGATCCGGTTCCCGCTTGGGCTGTCTGGGTGATTCAAGTTTCTCTTCCTCTCCTCCCTGCTAGAATATGAATTCATAGATGGAGGCCTTTCTGGCACCACAAGTACTTTCTAAGTAAGGAGACTCCTCTCACATCCCTCCCACATGGAAGGGTTGGCCTAATAGGAACCTCTTCTCCCTTATCCTTCCTGACTCCAGCTGACCAGCTGAGGTGAGCCTTGAGCCCACAAACTCTGAGTTAATTCACAAGAGAAAAAAAAATAAGTTGGGTCAATGAGAGTCTCCTGCGCATTGAAACTCAAGGGAGTTTAAATTAGGTTCTGCAGAGTCATAGCAGTGGAGCAGGCAGTGGTTCTCAGCCAGAAGTTTGTGGCACAGAAGAGACACCAGAGTTGCCACAGCGGGCCACATCTAAGCTGGGATTTTGAGGAACCACTAGCACACACAGGCGAGAGGTAGACAGAAGCCACAACTAAGTATTGCATCTTGTCTAAAGCCTCACACTGTGAAAGTCACATTTTCCCTTTCATGTTTCCTCTTCAAACCTAAAAATATTAGAACTGCTGCCCCAGTATATGATCAGGTCTTAACTGCAAGCCCGTTTCCTTTTCCATAGACTGTGCCCCCAGCTGGGTAAAGTAAACGCCCTTGGACATTATTGAGGCAACTGTGAAGGATGCCTTCGACGTGCAGGCTGGGAAACGAAGCCGGCCAGGTGAGTGTTATACCTTCCTTGGACCACCTCCTGAATAACAGCCACTGTAAGATCTTAAGCATGGCTTCTGGGGAGGCTGAGGAGCTTAGGAGAACTATTAGGAATCTGTGGGCCCATCATTAAAAAGAGGACTAGGAAAAGAAGGACGAGAAGATGTCAAGGATAAACTGAACGTTCAAAACTGTCGTCTCCGGGCACCAGAATGCCTGCAGCTTAGCTCATTCAGAGAAAAAGCAAACGCAGAAAATCTTCATGAAGGTATCCTGCGTGAAGAAACCCACTAGTATTATAAGGTGTTGGTAGAGTTTTTTGATTCAACTTTGTGGCTTTGGAAAAAAGAAAAGCCAACAAGGGGTATCATGAAGGGGTGCCCTGTGTTCACTCAGACGGACTCCGTGCAGCCCTGATTCATGTGAGGCAATGCACAGGTGTGCCGTGTGGTCAAGCTGTTGGGTAGTTTAATACTTTGCTTCCACTCTATCATTAAATCTTTGCAGAGTTCAGGGAGGAGATCCCTAAGGAGTTTATATTTTGTTTTGACTTTTTTTTTCTGTGTTGGAGAGAGAGGGTTATGGACGTCTCAGAAAATGGAAATTAGCCCTGTTCAGAGAATCTCAAGAAGCTGCCCTTAATAAAAATGGCAGAAATTAAGCATTTCTCTTCCACACAAATCTTTATTCCATATCAGGAGAGTCAGCTGCATTCGTGGAATTGCTGCCTGGGCACCCGGGAGGCAGGAGGCTGAGCACCTTCCCAAGAAGATGCTGTGGTTTCAAGTACAGAGAGGGGCACATGAGGCTAGAGGGACTTTTTGTTTTCTGTTTTTCCAAACACACAGTACGTAGTATAGCAGTCATTAGAAAACCAACCTGCCTTAAATTGGTTTGCTGTTTCTCGAGGACAAGCTGGCAGTATACATCAAGAGCTGTGAATTATGTATCTCCGGTATACGGCAATTTTACTTTTAGCAATTTATGCTAAGGAAATAATAAAGGATAATGGAGGATCTCCATTTAGACTTGTTTAGAATAAAACAAACGAACTGGAAATGACACACGTTTCCAACAGTTGGCAAGTGGATGAGTCAGTTCTGGCAGACTCGATGGAATACTACATATCCATTAAAAATTCGGTTGTAAAAAAAGACATAGACACTTCTCAAAAGAAGACATATAAGCAGCCAACAAACATAAAAGTGCCCCACATCACTAATCATCAGAGAAGTGCAAAGCAAAACCACACTGAAAGACCGCCTCACACCAGTCAGAATGGCCATTACTAAAAAGGCAAAAACAAAGAAAAAAATCGCAACAGATTCTGGCAAACCTGCAGAGAAAACAGAATGCTCGTGCACTGTTGCTGGAAAGTAAATTAGTTCAGGTGCCGTGGAAGCAGTTTGGAGATGTCTCAGAGAAGTTACAACGGAGCTGCCATTTGACCAGCCACGGCATTCTCGGGTATGTACCCAAAGGAAAAGAAATTATTCTACCAAAAGACACATGCACATGTATGTTCATCACCGTGCTATTCAAAATAGCAAGACATGGAATTCATCGGGTGCAGTGGCTCACACCTGTCATCCCAGCTACTCAGGAGGCTGAGACAGGAGAATTGCTAGAACCTGGGAGATGGCGGTTGCAGTGAGCCAAGATCGTGCCACTGTACTCCAGTCTGGGAATACAAAACACAAAAGACACAGAATCAACCTAGGTGTCCATCAACAGTGGACTGGATTAAAACAAGCTGGTACGTATACGCCACAGAATACCGTGCAGCCATAAGAAGGAATGAAAGTATGTCCTTTGCACCCAGCTGGGGGCACATGGATGCAGCTGCAGGTCATTATCCTAAGCAAATTAACTCAGGAACAGAAAACCAAATACTGCAAGTCCTCACTTATCAGTGGGAGCTAAACACTGGGTACTTATGGACATAAAAATAGCAACAATAAAAACTGAGGGCCACTAGCAAAGGGAGCGGGGTTGCGGAAGAGGGCCAAAATACTACTTCCGGGGGCTATGTGTGGTACCTGTGTGGTGGGGTCATTTGTACCCCAAACCTCAGCATCACACAGTATATCCAGGTAACAAACCTGCACAGGTACCCCCTGAATGTAAAATAAAAGTTGAGATTATTTAAAAACATAAAAAAAATATAAAGTGAGAAAATAAAATGAAAATAACAAAAAGTAGATTATTTAAAAGACTTCTAATTTTTTTCCAGGTTATTGTAAATCAGAAACAAAGCAAATTTACAAATCAAAGGGCAGGATGAGCGTGGGTCTAAGTGAAGGGCAAGAGGACTGGCCTTGGAATGCATTAACTTTGGAAAAACCTCTTCGGGATGTCCCTTGCTTGCCATGACTGCTACCAGGTTTGTTTTACTCAAAACATTTGTTCGTCGTCCCTGCTTGTCCCAATCCAATAGGACTTCAAAGATTTGAGGGCATTTTTGGTTTTCAATTTAACAAGTCATCTAAAAATAAAAATTAGAAGAGAAACATTCTGTTGTAAAAACATATTTCTGATATGAAAAGATGTTCATTGTGGGTGTGGGGGCTCATGCCTGTAATCCTAGCACTTTGGGAGGCTGAGGTGGATGGATCACAAGGTCAAGAGATCGAGACCATCCTTGCCAACATGGTGAAACCTGTCTCTACCAAAAATACAAAAATTAGCTAGGTGTGGTGGTTCACGCCTGTAATCCCAGCACTTTGGGAGGCTGAGGCGGGTGGATCATGAGGTCAGGAGTTTGAGACCAGCCTGGCTGACATGGTGAAACCCTGCCTCTACTAAAACACAAAAATTAGCTGAGCATGGTGACAGGCACCTACTTGGGAGACTGAGGCAGGAGAGTCGCTTGAACCTGGGAGGCAGAAGTTGCAGTGAGCCTATATCACACCATTGCACTCCAGCCCGGATGACAGAGTGAGACTCAGTTTCCAAAAAAAAAAAAATGAGGCAAAGATGCTCACTATATTCTCTTCATTGAAAGAGGTCGCAAATATAGTAATAATACAGAATGAGCCATTAAATAATTGCATATCTTCATGAGATTATGAATCATTTTTCTTTCCTGTCTGCATTTTGTATCTTCCCTTTGGTATCTACAATGGTTTGTTTTTTCTTTTCAAAAAGGGGAGATAAGAAAACCAAACTGCTTAATGATTATTTGTGAAAAGCAAGAAGTGTGACATTTCTTGGTGCATGTGTGGAAGAACCATGGGATGTATGTGTAGGAAGCAGTGAGGGTGGGGAGTTTGGGGGTGAGAAGAGGTGGACAGAGAAGGGAGGTCAGCGCACGAGTATGAGCTAAGCAGCTCTTACAAAAAGATCCCAAATTCAGTGGGATAAAGAGCGAAGCAGTTGTCTCGCATGTCTCAGGTAAGCATTCCTAGACCGTGGGCAGTGCTGTCCACTTCTTAGAGGACCAGATTCCCTTCAACTCAAGGCTCTGCCCTTCCCCAGCACTTTGTCATTCACTGCCTGGATGGCCAAGGCTGAGTCACAGCTGCACGTGGGAAGGAAGAGCGTGGAGGAGGAGGTCGGGGCGCGCTGTTGGAGCTGCAGGCGGCAAGTGGTCCCGGCTGCAACACATCCCCCAGGCAAGAGCTTCATCCACAACCTCACCTAACTGTAAGGGAAGCTAAGTGGGCAAATGTGGCATGGCTGGCCACCTTGTGCCTGGCTTTCATTCTACTCCTGTGCAAAAAGGGAAGAGTGGATTTTGGTGGACCGGCCTCCTTCACTGTTGGTGTTGTCAGAGCCAAGCGAAGTCACAGCAAGCAGTGGGACGAGGAAGCAGAGGAGAGAGGAGGTGAAGAATGGAAGCCGCTGCTAGCATCGTTCAACCAGGGTGACTTGTTTGATGCATCAGATGATGGTCCCCAGTGCAGGGACGGATGATGTGCTGGTGAGCTGAGCACTCCTGTTCATATTCCTGATGTGCCAGCATCACTGCCTTCTCTCCCACGCAGAAAGGAGTATCAGAATTCAAGTTAATATGACATCATTCAGAGGAGCCTGGATTTCGGCAGCAGAGTCTTCACTCATCTCACCATCCCCAGTCTATTATCCACTCCACAGCCAGATGAACCTTCTAAACCAAATCAAAGCAGCTCCCTTACCTGCTTCCAGCCCTTTAGAGGCTCTCTGTTGTTCTGTGGATAAGGTTGAAAACCTTTCTCTGGAGTCACTCTGTCCTTTGTAATAGGGCCTCTGCCTCCTTCAGCAGCCTGATGCTTTGCCCTTCTCCAGCTGCGCTGGTTGTATTAGCTCTTGGGTATAAAGAATCTTTCTCTCCTGCCTCAGGGCCACCTTGAGCAGTCTTCCCCTTGTTCTTCTCCTGGATGACTCCTCCTCCTCCTTCAAGATCTCTGAGTAAACATCACTTCCCCACGGGGACTTCCTGTCTCCCCGCGATCTGCAGAACACACCTGTGCTATACATTTTCATACCCCTTGCATGTTCATATGGCCTACAAAACACGCGGCTCCTCATGTGATAACATCTTCTTCATTTAATAATAGAGAACTCTGAGAGGCTTCACCTCTCTCTGTCTTGTTTGAGCCTGAGTTAAATGGGTGAGGAAATAAAGCATTCGGTTCTTCAGTCACGGTGTAATTATTTCCAATGGTGCGCTTTAGAACCAGGTGCAAGTTATCTTGGGAATGGTTACCAGCGAAAGGAGAGAGGCTCTTCTCTCCAAGAAGACCGTGAAAAGATGAGCAAAGCCTTCACTGACCTTGAGGGAGACGCCTGAGTTCTGGATACAGAAGCTAAAATAGGTAGGAATCAGATATTTCAGAAGGTGCAAAAAATAAGTGGGTCCGACCTTGTCTTCAGAGCATTCCTGGCCTCTGGGAGATATTTGTATGCAGATGTCATTTCGTATTTATAAATTAGCCTGGAGGGGCTGTGTGTGGGTCCGTAGGTGGACTGAAGGACAGTGGAGAGTCTGTAAGGGTGAGAGATTAGAGCAGAAAGGCTGAAAAAAATGTCCAATCTTCAGCGTTTTGTACATCCATTTAATAAATAGCTTTTGACAGCTTACCGATGTGCCTGCCACTGTGCTGGATCCTTCTGGGGACAAGAGGCACAGGCGATACAGAGATAGAGGATGCAAAGGTCAGGGTGTATGGGAGCACGGAGGAGAAAGCAGTAATTTGCTCAGGCCAGGTGGGAGAAGCCATCCTGGAAAGGGCAAATTTGAACTGGGCCGTAGAACAATAAATTAGAATTTCCAGTGGAAAGAGAGGAAAAAGGGCATTCTAGAAAAGCGAAGAACGGGAGCTTGAAAAATGTCAGTGTTTGGGCAGCAGCGAGGAGCCAATGTGGATGGGGAGCCCAGGCTGGAAAGCAGGGATGATAATAATGATCGCCGACATTTAGCAGACATTTCTTATGTGCCAGACACTGCTTAAGTGCTTTGCCCATATAATCCCAGCTTATAAGCAGCAGAGCCAGGATTTTGAGCCAAGGCAGTCTGACTCCAGAGCTCATGCGTGTAAGCACAGGGCTAGTCCACATTGTCAAGGAGACTGCATGCCAGGCTGAGCTCCTGGGAGGGGTGAGGGTTTGGGAAGGATTTTAGCATTTGGAAAATGATGCATTCAGACTGTGCTTTGGAAAGACCATTCTGAGACCTGTGTGAATACAGGCTGTGCAGGCTGTCATGAGGGGCAGAAAACACGGGATACTGTCCCACCAATGGGAAGCCTAGAGTCTCCTTAACAAGCAGACCTGACAAGTGAGCCAGTTAAATGCTAGGGTTCCTGCCACTGATGACATACAAACTCTAAAGGAGGTTAGAGACAGCAGAGAAAGCTAAGCTGGGCAAACGGACGCAGCCATTTTAACTTCAGGGATGGTAGAGTTGAGTCCAAATCAACATGGCCTTTGTCTCTTTGCAGTGGAATGGCCCCATTTTTGTCCCCAAATATACTGGTTCAAATTGTATACCCCAGAGCTTCTTGCCCCTGAACCTCAGAGTGTGACATTATTTGAAAATAGGATATTTTGGTAAAATTAGTTAAGATGAGGCCATTCTGGAATAGAATGGGCCCCAAATCCAGTGACTGCTTCGTTGTGTGTTTTTTTTTTTGAGACAGAGTCTCAGTCACCCAGGCCGGAGTGCAGTGGCACAACCTTGTCTCACTGCAACCTCTGCCTCCTGGGTTCAAGTGATTCTCCAGCCTCAGCCTCTCAATACCAGCTGGGATTACAGGCACCCGCTGCTATGCCCGGCTAATTTTTTTTTTTTTTAATTTTTAGTAGAGACAGGACTTCACCATGTTGGCCAGGCTGGTCTCAAACCCTTAACCTCAAATAATTTGCCCTTCTTGGCCTCCCAAAGTGCTGGGATTATAGGCATGAGCCACTGGGCCTGGCCGACTGCTTTCCTTATGAGAAGAGGAAAAGAGAAGCAGAGACACACGCAGAGGACACAGACACCCAGGGAAGATGGTCTCATGAAGGTGGAAGCCAGGATTGGAGTGATCCCTCTGTAAGCTAAGAAAGCCAAAGATTGCTGCCAATCACCAGAAGCTAACAAGAGGCAAAGAGGAATCCTTCCTGAGAAACTTCGGAGGGAGCATGGCTGTGCTGATGCTTTGCGTTTAGATGTGTAGCCTCCAGAACCCTGAAGGGATAAAATTCTATTATTTTAAGTCACCTCATTTGTGGTAGTTGGTTATGGCAGCCTTAGCAAACCAACACACCAGAGAAGCTGAGAAACGAGAAGTGAAGGTCCTGCTTCACTCTCCTGATTTTAAGGACAATAGTCCACGGCCACGTTGTTGAGGTTAACCAGGATAAAGACGGGGTGACTGAGGGCACGGGCTCTGGATTTCAAGTCCCGCCTCCTCCGCCTACTCTCTGGGAGACCTTGAGCCAATTACTCAATTGCTATGTGCTTGGATTTCTTACCTGTAAGGTGCAGTTAATGGTCTTCCTGCCTCACAGGATTATTGTGGGGATAAAGTGAGTTTATGTACTTAAGTATTTAGAGCAGCGGTTGCTGTTATTCTTATTGTTGTTGGTGGCACCATTTGCTTGGATTTGGGATGGGAAATAAGATGTCCTAGATCAGGCCGGGCGCGGTGGCTCACGCCTGTAATCCCAGCACTTTGGGAGGCCGAGGCGGGTGGATCACAAGGTCAAGAGATCGAGACCATCCTGGTCAACAAGGCAAAACCCCATCTCTACCAAAAAAAAAAAAAAAAAAAAAATTAGCTGGGCATGGTGGTGCGTGCCTGTAGTCCCAGCTACTCCGGAGGCTGAGGCAGGAGAATTGCTTGAACCCAGGAGGCGGAGGTTGTGGTGAGCCGAGATCGCGCCATTGCACTCCAGCCTGGGTAACAAGAGCGAAACTCTGTTTCAAAAAAAAAAGATGTCCTAGATCTTCAGCACTGATCCCCCCTACTTTGACAAGGCATGCCCTTGCCTCTGTGCAGCATTTACCCAACATTCCACAGCCATGCTCCCACATAGCCTTGATGAAGGCTACAGGGGCTCCTGGCCCAGATTAGGCACAAAGCTGATTAAACATGCATGTGCATCTCAGCTTCAGGTTTGCATGCGCCAATGCAGGGCTCTGCTGCCTGAGAGCCATCTGTGATTCAGATGGCACCAGGTCCCCAGGGTGAGCACACCAGGTCTGCTGTGAGATTCTTTGCTCCAGAAAAGGTGGTACAAGTTGCCAAGCAATGCAGAGGCCACAGCTGTTAGATCCCAGGAATTATACCTCCAGGTCCCACAAGGCCCATTTCTTATGCAAAGACTGGGGAAGAACTCCAACTACATTATTTGGAGTCTTTCTTTTCTAGTCTCAGCCTACCCACAGGTCACAGCATAGCAACTGCTGAGCACACCAAGTCCGAGTTTCATGCTGGCAGCAAAAAAGAGTTTAGAAGAAATTGGAAGTGTTCTCTGCAGATCTCACCCTGTTAGTCTGCCCTGGTTTCTTGAACTTCTGGCTTCTCTAAACGCAGGCTCTCCTAGGTCTGGGTGGACAGTCTTTCCTTTTAATCTCCAGGGTTCTGACTTATAGAATATAAACACAAAGAACTGAGCCAAGCAGGGGTCCACAGGGCACCTTTATTTACCAAAGTAAAGGCTCTCCAGTAAACTGTGTAGGCATGAGGCCAAATAGAACTTTCTGTGTTTTCCCCCACCTCAAAATCAGACCTACCCATAATGGTAGATAAAGATGGCTGCATATCCTTCGACTCTCCTCCTATTTCAAGTAGGATCTATGGCCCTACTCTTGAATCAGAGTGGGATCTTTGGCTGCCTTGATCAATAGTATATGGGCAGAAGTAACATTGTGCAGTCTCCTAGTGACTTCTTTTTCTGTTCTTTTGAAATACTGTTAGAACCCAGAGGGGCAGGTGAGATGTCCAGCTTCCCTTCTGGGAAACCACACAGTAGCCCTAAGACTCCATGGAGAGAAAGTGGCGCCCAGCTGAGCCCAGCCTTCCAGCCATCCCCACCATGTTGCCAGGCATGCGAGTGAAGCCATCTGACCCACTCCCCTCAGAGACCTGACCCAGACACTAGACAAACACCATGAAGTAATACCAGTCAGTGTCATGTGGTGCAGAAGAATTGCTCAGTTGAGTTCATCCCAGATTCTTGACCTGCAAAATTGTAATATATTATGAAATAACTGTTCTTGTAAGCCATTAAACTTTGGCATAGTTTGTTACTCAGTAATAGGTCATTGGAACACTCACCCAGTCTCAGATAAAGAAGCTGGAACACAGAGTGGAGATTGGGGTTGGCATAATAGGCAGGCACTCTCTGGTTCTGCTTAGCAAAATGAGTCTAGGAACCCAAGGAGAGCCCAGGCCTCCAAAACCCAGAGACCCCTAAGAGTGAGAGACGAGACTGGGCATGGTGGCTCATGCCTGTAATCCTAGCACTTTGGGAAGCTGAGGCGGGTGGATCATGAGGTCAAGAGATCGAGACCATTCAGGCCAACAGGGTGAAACCCTGTCTCAACTAAAAAATACAAAAAATTAGCTGGACGTGGTGGCGCACACCTGTAGTTCCAGCTACTCGGGAGGCTGAGGCAGGAGAATTGCTTGAACCCAGGAGGCGGAGGTTGCAGTGAGAGGAGATCGCACCTCTGCACTCCAGCCTGGCTCCTGGTGACAGAATGAGACTCTGTCTCAAAAAAAAAAAAAAAAAAAGTGAGAGGCATGGTCAGCCCATACATAACTTGGTTCCAGCGCAGGGCCCTGCCCGCTGTCAATGGGCCCAGTGAGTATCAGCTTTTTTAACAGTCCAGGTAAACCTGTCTCCAGAACAAAGCAGGTAAAAAGGCAGAAAAAAGATCAAGTATCCCTTCCTGGGACTTCTTGAGTCGTTGGGAGTGTTTGTAGATGTTTCTTCTTCTGTGAAAACCTGAGAGCAGAGGAGTAAATATGTTCAACATAAAAAATAAGAAAGAAGCAGGTTATTTGATTTGACTTTGCAGGGAAAGGACATACTTAGAATTGGTAAGATAGAATCTGGCAAAATATTGGCTTTTCTCTTTCCAATTTGTCTTTAGTCCGAAGCAGGCCATGTTCCGTTATATGCCCTTGGCATTTTTAATTCCTCTCTTGGAGCTCTTATCACAATCGTAATTAATTGGTCATAGGATTGTCTGCGCTTTTCTATCCTGAAAGCCATGACAGTGAGGACTTTGTTCTCTTCTGAATCCCTGGGGCCTAGGGTCTGATAGATGCCCAGTGAGTATTTACAGAATGGACACCTGAATCAATTAGCTGTGCCTGAGATTCAGCTTATGGAACTCTGATCTCACCCACTC